TAATTTGCTAGAAAAGCTCACAGAACTCAAGAGAAACATTGCACTTACCAGATTATCAGTTTATTATAAAAGGATATAACTTAGGAATGTCAGGTGAAAGAGATGCGTAGGCAAGGTATGGAAAAGGACACGGAGCTTCCTCGTTCTCTGAGAGCACCACTCTTCCTGAACCTCCAGGTGTTCATCAACCTGAAACTCTCCCAACCTGGTCCTTTTGGGGGGTTCATGGAAGTTTCAGTACAGAGGCATGATTGATTAAATCATTGGTCGTTAGTGACTGAACTCGATCTTCAAACCCTCTCCCCTCCTTGGAGGCCAGGGGCTGGGAGTTGGGGGGGAGGAGGTAGGACTGAAAGTTCCAACACTCTAATTACATGATTTGTTCTCCTAGCAGGCAGTTCCCCTCCTTAGGTTCCTGCAGGAACTTTCTAAAAGTCACTCGTTAATAACATAACAAGATACCTTCACTGCTCTCATCACTTGGAAAATTCCAAGGATTTTAGGAGCTAGGTGCCAGAAACAGGACAAAAACCAAATATATATTTCTTACTATAAATCACAACATCACACTTACACGTCTCAGACTCTTCTTCAGCTTCTCACACCTTCTCCCCATCAGCCTTACTATTGCTGTGGGACTAGTGGCTGTGGTAATAACAATAGATGGAGAAACAGCACCAATGTCAATGTCAGCAACAAGAGCAGTAAGTAATGGCACGGCAGTGTTGTTAACTTCGATTACTGTAGTAGCCTTCTAAAACTACTCCCAAACCTCAATCTTGCCCCTTATTACATTCTTCACATTACTGCTAATATAATTCTTCCAAAATAAACATTCAATCATATCACACCCTTTCAATTTTCTAATGGCCCCAATGACCTTGGGAATAAAATATAAATTCTTAACACGGTCTAAAAAGGCCTGTCACCACCTAGCCCTGTCTACATCAGCCCCTACAATATGCCCTTTGCCACAGCCACCCCAAACAACTTGCATTTAACCACCGAAGGTATGCTGTTTCTCACCTCTGTTCCTGGAATGCCCTTCTCTTCTCCTGCTGGACCACCAACCCAACTGAATCCTATTTATCCTTCCAAAAACAGTAAAGTGTCCTCTCTAGGAAGATAACCTCAAGCCTCCAGGCTACATCAAACATCACATTATAATAATATTATTATTTTGCTCTTTGTTAGTTTATTCTGACCCCTCTTTCCTGTGTGCCCAGTAGCTGACTATAAGCATGTTAGAGATACTCGAGAAAAGGTTGAATGAATGAATGAGGGGATTTTGGCTCAATTATAGATTAATACATACACTGCTCTTCTGTTCCCAGTTACAACTTGTCCTATCCCCTCAGGTTGCTCATAGTCTAGCAAGGGATACAGAAATGTGAGTAGAAACCTATTATCATAATTTTGGAGGATTCATGGACCCCCTGAGGCTCACCCAGGAACCCATGTTAACAACCAGTTAGATAATGATAAAATGGACACACAGGATAAATGAGATCAACATCATTTGGTGACACATAGTGTCAGAGTTTTGTCAGAGCATTAGCTTTATAAAATAAAGAGCAAGGCCACCAGGAGCCAGATATGTGTAGAAAGCCAAAATTTTCTAGGTTTTAGAAAGGTAAAATGGTATTTGTCTCATATATTGCATATTATTTTCAGTGGAGTCTGGATCAGCACCCCATACTCAAATATTTTATTTCCACCACAAAATGTATGTGAGTGAGACAAAGAATGACTATCCTCAGCTATATGTTAAGAAGGTCAGATTTTGCCACCAGATGAATTTTTGTGCCACATTTATGGAACAAACTTTTGGTTGCAGAGCTTTTTGGATTTTGGAATTGAGGTTGCGGAATATGGAATTGTATCATCATCAATTCCTTCCACTCTAACTTGGCAAGAAGTTGACAAACCTGTTCCTGCATTTCCTACACTGGCTAGGAAGGGGTCTGACTTGGGCTGAGCCTGAAGAACCTCAGGAGGTCTCGTCTTCTCATTCCAGGTTTTAGTTGGGAAGGCAGACAATCTGGAACTAGAGTCAATATCTATACACTCTATATTCCCTGCAGGTAATCCACCAAGAAGCACCTTGGAGAAAGGTCTCTCAACCAGTTTTGAATCCACCTAGTTGAGGGCAAGGCAAAGTACCTGATAAAAATGCTTTGTCATAATTCTTTGCTTTTCTTAGATCTACTAACTTCACAAACTTTATTTTTTTAAATTACACATGAGTTTTTTATTCCTCTGGACTTTACCTACATAAAGCCTCGAGAATCTCTTCCTGGGTCCTCTGAGCTCTGGCCATTTTCCATGAAAAGTTACTATTCTGGTTCTCTGATCTTGCCTCACTCAATCAATTTCTTTTCTACTTTTCCCTAACCCTACTTTCAGCAATCCAATTCACAGGGCGTGACTACTCATTTCAGTACCTAACTTAAGCTCTGTTCATCACATTCCTTAGTCATAAGCTTTTTCATCCACAACAAGCTTTCTTTTCTCGTCACTTCTTCCTCTACCCTAGATCAGGATAGCGTTCTCCACCTTCCTCCTTATCCGCTTTCCATCTAGTCTTGCCCAGGAAGCAGCCTCTAGTTCACCCTGAAATGTAATCTCCAAAGTCCACACGTATTTGCATCTATATACTTTCTTGATACAGTGGTCCCTTAGTATCCACCAGGGTCTGTTCCAAGGCCCCACAGATACTAATATCCTGGATATTAGTCCCTCATATAAATGGCACATACACACAAAAAAAGTAAAGTGAAAATCACTCAGTCGAGTCTGACTCTTTGCGACCCCATGGACTACACTGTCCATGGAATTCTCTAGGCCAGAATACTGGAGTGGGTAGCTTTACCAACTGAGTTATCAGGAAAGCCCCATAAAATGGCATAGTATTTGCATATAACCCTGTGAGGATGTGCATAGGTTATATGCAAATACTATGCCATTTACACCTAATACAATGTCAGTACTATGTAAATAGTTGTAAATACAATGTAAAAGCTATGTAAATACTTGCTGGTACCTGGAAAATTCAAGTTTTGCTTTATTGGAACTTATGCATCCTAAGATGAAGATCATAACACTTCCTGACTCTCTGTTTGTTAAAAGGATTAAATGAGTTCATAGGTGGAGAGAGCTTAGAAGAATGCATGGCTGACCCAGAGAGGTGGTGAAAATACCCAGAGATATTTGGTACCATTATCTTCCAAACTCATACCCTATTTGTAAAGAAAGTTTACTGAAATATCTTGTGTGCCTTCATACTCCAATTTTAGTATATGTGCTGAGTATGAAGCGGAGCCTTCATACTCAGTCGTGTCCGACTCTTTGTGATGCTACGGACTGTAGCCTACCAGGCTCCTCTGTCAATGGAAGGAAGACCTGGGGGCAAAGTGCAAGTGACTCAGCACAGTCCTACTATCACAGACCTGGGTCAGCAGTCAGGACTGTCCTCCTACATAAAGCACCACAGACTGCCCTTTGCCACTTGTCCTACAGCACATGAAATGGGAGCCTGGGGCCTGAGAAAGGGGCATTGGCTTCATCTAACAAAGTGACTAGCTCCACAAAGGAGTTTACTTTCCAAGGTTTACTAGAGATTTAGGTCAGGTGAAAGATTATACACATTGCACAGCTTTTCAACAGAAACAGACTGGGCCATTTGATTAGGCTTATAAATCTAAGGTTAATTGGGAATTGAGCATTGCAGCTCTAGGAAATAGGGTACTTGGCGTGTTTGTATATTTCTGAATCTGTCCCCTGTTTACAGCTACAAACATATGCCATTAATTTATGATTTTACTTCTATAGGCTTCACCAGGGTAACACAAATAGAGATTAGTCATTAAACCCAGGAGGAATTTGAGAACAGGACATAAAATTTAAAGAAGGTTATACACTGAGAGAAAAAAAAAATGATGTAAGAAGTAAAGGCAACAGAAAATTAGCTGCTAAATCTTCAGGATAATGCATTTTTACAGGTTGTTTTTTAATAATATTCACTATATTGTACTTTAATCTGTGGTTCTCCAAGCTAAGCTAAGTGATTCCCGAGAGAAGGGGAGAGGCTTTTTTAACTAACGAAAATAAGTTTAAAAAAAAAAAACCCCGAATCTTGTCTTTCCTGAGTTTGTATTTTCTTTATTACTTTTTGTCCACCAAACCTGCAGGGAATATAGAGTGTATAGATATTGACTCTATTTCCAGATTGTCTGCCTTCCCAACTAAAACCTGGAATGAGAAGACGAGACCTCCTGAGGTTCTTCAGGCTCAGTCCAAGTCAGACCCCTTCCTAGCCAGTGTAGGAAGTGCAGGAACAGGTTTGTCAACTTCTTGCCAAGTTAGAGTGGAAGGAATTGATGATGATACAATTCCATATTCCGCAACCTCAATTCCAAAATCCAAAAAGCTCTGCAACCAAAAGTTTGTTCCATAAATGTGGCACAAAAATTCATCTGGTGGCAAAATCTGACCTTCTTAACATATAGCTGAGGATAGTCATTCTTTGTCTCACTCACATACATTTTGTGGTGGAAATAAAATATTTGAGTATGGGGTGCTGATCCAGACTCCACTGAAAATAATATGCAATATATGAGACAAATACCATTTTACCTTTCTAAAACCTAGAAAATTTTGGCTTTCTACACATATCTGGCTCCTTGTGTTTAGACAAAGGATGGTGGACCTCTCCTAAGGGTACTGAGGCAGTAAGAGGTCTGAGAAACACATTCTGGCTCTGCAGAAGGAGATGTGAACCAGAAATCTACAAGTGCTTCAGATGGAATGGAATGCAAGGCGAGCTGTCGGCATCACCTGTCTCAGCAGAGAACCAGGGAAGCAGTACACTGAGTGATAAAAGTCAGTCAGCAGCCACACTCCTTGACCCATAGGCCTCCCTGCCCACCAGTCCAGGCTGTGGCCCCGCTGAGCACACACAGAGGGTGCTGCCAACCATCTCCTAGAATCCTTACCTCGGAATCCACACAGGTGCTGTGGCTAATATCTTCACTTTCTTCACTCTCTTTCACCATCTCTCTTCTCTAACAACTTCTCTTCTAGTCTTACAAGCTCTATACGAATCACCATTCAGAGTTCACTGGTGGTGATAGCAAGTTTAGGCAATCTAAAAAGAACAAGGTTACTTTCATTATGGTTATATTTATTTTATCTTTTTATTCTGGATTCAAACTGACAGGGCTCAAATTATGGATCCAGTCACCTGTGTGGCTGTAGATGAATAATTTAATCTCCTTGTGCCTCAGTTTTCTCACTTATAAAATAGGGATAATAGTACCATTCTCACACAGTTGTTGAGGGGGATTTAAAGGAGCTAATACTATACAAAGCACTTAGAGTAGGGCTTGGCAAATTGTGAGGACTCCATAAATATAAGCTACTACTATTTCTGTGGCTGTATGCAACTGTCTTCTAAAAGAGCTTCATACAACAAAAATATGGTTTTTTTCCTTATAGGATTTCTTATATCAAATTTCTTAAAATGGTACCATAAGGACACTGGCTGGTCAATAATTATTTGCTAGATATGATGATAAAGGAGAAGAAAACAATGACAAAAAACAGATGCAGAATCAAAACCTTAGTATGAAATTACAAATTAGCTTTCATCACATTGCCTACTTAACAGTCTTGTGGTATGCACGGCTTCTCTCCCTTCTCTATCCTCCTTTTGCTACTTTGTTTTAAAAGCTAAGAAATAAAAAGAGGATAACAAAACACTTGGTATACAAATTTAAAAATAAAACCATCAAGCAGGAACAAATCTTTGAGGAAGTCCTTCATTGTATATTCACATTTTTGTTTTCAGATTACCCTTAATGTAAATAATATTAATCACACTGTTCACTAAAAATGCACTAAAAACAATTAAATTGTGCATTAAATTGAATTCCAACTACTTAAGCATTATAACTAGGAAAGTAATATTTCCAATGATCTCTCCTTCCCTAATATCTCACAAAGCTCCTCCATTCAGAGTCAGACCTTGGAGAAGTTACTCCTTGACCTTCCCCAACACATCAGAACTGGCACATGGGTCATCTCCATCAACGTACTCATAATTTTCAGCTGCATTTTCAGTGCTCCCCACCCTGTGGCCCTGGGTGTAGAAGGAAAATTAGGAACCCCATATATTCACTATTCCTCTCTCACCTCCTAACCTGACTATGGAATTAATGTTGGGGCAGCTGTGGTTTTTTTCTAAAGTCAGCCCTAATTGGACCAACTCATATTTGTCTCAGTCGAATTCACCTCTACCCTATTTTATTTATCAAAAAGAATGCCCAACTCAAGGTGGAAAAAAAAAATCACAGCTAAATGTAGGTTTAAAGCTGAGGAGACTTGAGATTGAAAAACTGCCAGTTCTTACTGCTCACTTACTCACATGAGGGTTTACAGCTCCTGAAATCATGCCAGGACTTTGAAAATGAAAGCTTGCAGTTAGAAAACGATGGCTCATGACAGCGAAGATCAGTCATGTGATAGGCCAAGCGTTTTCCGTCATTGCCTTCTTCAATCAGACAGAGCTCAGAAACAGAGGTTAATCGGTCAGATAGCATCCACAGGGGCTGAGGGCAGCAGAATCTGGCTGCAGCAATTAATCATTTAATTGCTTTCTGATTCACTTTAAATGTCTTTTAAAAAGATATTAAAGAAAAACATTATTGGAAGAACATTTTAGACTATTTAATAAAGATCCAATATACCCTTTGTGAACCAGAAAATAAATGGATCTCCAGCTAAACTCTGTTCAGGGCTTGCTTGGGCAGCACTTACTTACACAGAGGAAGGAATGACAGAGTCTCTGCAGCAGGCAGAAAAAAAAAAAGCATGTATAAAAGCACTTAGGAAAGAAAACATGGGTATAAATAAAAATAGGCTTTTTGTTTGTTTGGCTATTGGTTTTTTCTGGCTAAATAGTAGGGTGTGTGACAGGGGTTGACAGGAGAGCCTAGAAACACAGTAAACTAAATTTTCAAAGGGTCTTGAATGCTGAGATACAAGAGCCTGAACTTCAGAAGAAAAAAACAAACAAACACCTGATTTGATCTACTAATTAGGCAATGGGAGCCGCTGAAGATTTCTGAGCAGAGAAAGCAGCACATGTTGGGAACAGCATGAACTGTGAGGTTCACCAACCCTAGGTTATAATTTCTAGCCATGACTCTCATTAGCCAATATGGATAGAACCTCCCAAGCTGAACAGTAGAAGTAACAATACCATTTCCAGGGTTACTGAAACATTAGATACGATATATGTAACACCCCCCGCCCCCCACCAAAGCTTAGCACATAAAAAGCATCCAGTAAATGGTGTTAGCTATCTTCCTGCTATGCTCTGGGTGGGAAGGTCAAAGGCGAAGAGGTGGAAGGAGGGAGACCAGAGAGAAGAAAGTCTAGACAAGACGGAGTACAGGCAAGGAAAGTGGCAAAGAGAAAACAGGACAGACTCTAAGGAACACAACAAAGGCAGTGCTCAAGGAAATGGAGACCAAGAAAGATTAACTTGCTCAGTGCCGTTTGACAACGACTGGACATGACTGAGAGAAGAGAGGAAGCCGGAGAGACTCCAGGAATCTGGCTGAGATAAGCAACACACAGGTTGGAGAGATGCAAACTTCTACGAGATCCAAAATAAATAATACATGTAAATAAATGCCGAGCACTGAGTTTGCATTTCTAGAACGACTACAGAAATAACTGTAAACATATTTCTTTCTGCAATGATCCCATCTGAATTCCTAATAATAAGAGCTGCCCTGAGAACAATTTTAAAATTCACAGGGCCAGACGATTTGGGTCATGACATTATGCGGGGTCAAAGACCAGTCAGGGTCGTCCTCCCACATGTCTTCCCGACACGCCCCTCTTCACGTCATCTCCACCACAGACATGCCACCCTCTCCTCAGGCTAGCTTCACTGCTGTCACTCACTCTATGATCCTCTCAGCACAAATAACTGCCTGCTCTCCTCAGGCCCAACTGCCTTCCTCACAAGGCTCTGCTGCTTGGATAACAGGTAGAGAAATACCTGGTGCTTCAGAACAGCAGGGCAGCGCCTAATAACTCACACACCTGACATTTTCATTACACACTGCATTAGAAGTTTCTTCAGGAGGCAGCCTTAATAATTTTGCACCACTCTGCTCAGTGGGGATTAATATTACTTACTTACATGTTTGGGGCGGCAGCCACTCTTTCAGCACAAGCTTCAATCCTCATCTGGGTCACTGTGGGTTTCAGCCCTGTCAGCTCCATGTAATTCACAAAGGGATCGACCCATGGACGCTTCCCAGCCTGCAGGACACACAGGGGAAACTTTATAGTATATATAAATGAAATTTAATACTGCAGTATACCTTTTGGGATGTACGCCTAGCTTGTTAGAACATGTAGAAAAGCTGACAAGCCACTTTGCGTCTTTTGGAGGCCTCTGCTTTGCACCGGCTGGCCTAGAGAAGCACAGGATCAGGCTGTCTTCCCACTCACTGCCTTCATGCTCTCCCTACAGGAGTGTTCCCACCTAAGCTTGCTCTGGAACATTTAGAAGTTTTAGTTAGACTACAGTGTTTTTTTGAAGTTTTTTTTGTTTTGTTTTGGACTGTGCTAGGTCTTAGTCACTGCACTCGGGCTTTCTCTAGCTGCACCAAGCAGGGGCTACTCTTCATTGTGGTGCAGGCCTCTCCTTGTGGTGGCTTCTCTCGTGGCTTGGCAGCTGTGGCACACAGGCTCAGCTGCTCCAAAGCATGTGGGATTTTCCCAGACCAGGGGTCAAACCTGGTCCCCTGTGTTGGCAGAGGGATTCTTAGCCACTGGACCACCAAGGAAGCCTTTTTTAAATTTTTAAAAAATTTTGGCCACACCATGGGGCATGCAGGATCCTAGTTCCCTGACCAAGGCTCAAACCCAAGCCCTCTGCATTGCAAGGCAGAGTTTTAACCATTGGACTGCAGGAAAAGTCCCTTAACTTTATTTTATTCTTAACTTTAAGACAAATGTCATGCTGACTTATCTCCAGTTAATGATGTTATACTTCCTGTGCAACCCAATGGCCTCCAGAATAACAGAACTCCATACATGTACAGTGCTTTGTAGGCAAAGATGTTTTATGTTTTACAAAAGGAAGTGGGACTTGGGAAAAGGGTTGATGACAACACAAGAAGGCCAAAGGTTGCTTAGAAGTCAACCCATCCAGGTGGCGCTAGTGGTAAAGAACTTGCTTGACAACACAGGACACTTAAGAAACACGGGTTCAATTCCTGGATTGGGACAATCCCCTGGAGAAGGGCACAGCACCCCACTCCAGTACCCTTGCCTGGAAAATCCCATGGACAGAGGAGCCTGGTGGGCTACAGTCCCTGGAGTCACACAGAGTCGGACACAACTGAAGTTACTTAGCACACGCGTCATAGAGAGTCAAGTGTTCCTTCTGGATTCTTCACAATATTCTTAATCCAGGAGCACTTGGCATCGGGCACTAAATGTGCTATTTGCACAGCTGACCCTCTGATGGTGTGCAAATGGTTTTCTTTTCATGTTACTCCTAGTTCTGAGGAGTGCAGATTGATATCTACTGTTAAGATTTCTACCTTTTCTTTCCTCTGTATACCAGAGTAATATTAATGACGGACATCCACTATCCACATAGTGCTACTTATGTCTCTTTTACTTCTTGGTCACCATGCTGTGAAGTAAGGTATTATTATTACTCGTAATTTACAGATGAAGAAACCGAGCCTTACAGAATTTAGATAACTTACTCAAAGCCAGACAGCAGTAACTGGGAAAACCAGAACTCAAACCCAGGTTTCTTTTGTGCCACAGTCAGAGTTAAAAATCATAATAACTCACTGGAACAATGATATCCACAAATGAGATTGTAAGAACATTTACTGGAAAATTCTGGCTCGATACCCACAATAAAGGGGAAAAGTCTCAGTACTTACTGCTATGAATTTGATTCCACGTACATCTCTGAGTGTATGATGACCTTAACTGTTTTAGGAAAAGCTACATCAACTCTGCAATATTCATTGACTTCGTAGTCTATAAAAGGCACACAGCTAATTAATCACTGAATGGAGGAGGCTGGGTATCAAGAAGAGTGATATATCCACTTCTCAAGGTACCTACAATCCAGCTGGGTAGACAGGCCCTAAACACATGCAGTGTATATACTGAGATGATATCAGGAAAGGCATTGCAAAGATTCATCACCAACTTAACAATACACAGCAAGAGTACTAGGGTGAGTCAGGCGAGGGAGACTCCTCTCCAAGCAGGAGGAGTCAGAGAAGACTAGGTAGGAGAGATGGGAACCAACAGAGGGGAAGCATCTGGTGAGGTTGGAGATTGCTGGTAAGTGAAAGCTGCATCCAGGAGAAGTGAGAAGATATCCCTAGAGTGAAGTTGAGGTCTCCTCATAACGACAGCTTCACGTCATTACCCCGTGCTTGACTGGAATGCAACATGAGTCCAGAGAGTCAACACTGACAGTCAACACTGTCACAACTGCGTCCCTTAAAGTTCATGAGCTGAATTTCATGAAGCTCTAACTGTCCCGTGTCACTATATTTAGAGGCAGGGCCTTAAAAGAAGCAATTTGGGTTAAATAAGGTCAAAAGGATGGGCCCTTAATCCAATGTCCTTATAAGAAAAAGGAGAGACACCAGAGCTGCTCATGCAGAGGAAAGACCACGTAAGGACATGGCAAAAAGGCAGCAATCAGCAAGCCAAGGAGAGAACGCCAACACTGTGATCTTGGACTTCCAGCCTCCAGAACTGCTAGAGAATACATTTCTGTTGTTTAAGACACCCAGTCCATGGTCTTCTGTTGTAGCAACCCTGGTAGACTAATTACACACACCTTCATGTATTTCACATACCACTTCTCTGCTTCTCTATACTGCCCTGGATCCAGCGACCTGGAGTAGCAGGTTTCTAAACCTGTGGGCCACTCCGTGTGATTATCATGAAGACCTCTGCTGGAATGCTTGAACAAGCTGAGGATGATCTAAGGCAGTGCATCTCAAATTCCCCATGATGAAGAACCAGTTTTCCCCCATTCTTTGGCTGATGGCTACACCATCTTACTATGCTTGCTAAGTAGGCAGCAGCAGCTACAAGCAGCTCACCGTGTACACTGAACAACTCAATAGTGTCCCCTGATCAGGTGTGTGGATATGGCAGCTAGACAGTGGTGAGCTGGTAAATGTTCAGCACCCAGGGTGTGGGGGAGAAGGAGTCCTGATCTGTGGCATTTGCCCATTTGTTACATAAAAATACTTCTTGTCATGACTGATTCCAAGCTACCAATCTGAAGTTACTGAGCCACAGAGATAGGAAGGAATGCCTGTAACTGGCTCCCTCCAGCTGGTACCACCTACCTTCAGCCCATCACAGCAGCAATGTACAGATACCAAAAAGTTCCTACTTATTGTCATTTTTGTACTTAACTCCTTGCAGAAGGCAGGTCACACTTTGCATAACACTGACCTAATTTTTTTAAGTGTGGGAGTCCCCAAAGATGTCCCCTAAAGCCCATCAGCTCACTAATTTTACTAGTGTAAATTCTGGACCCACAAAGTTCTAAAAAAGTATTTTCAGAAAGGGCCTATTAACCCAAAACTACCTATGAAAAAATGACAGAAACTCAGCTCTTCTCTCTTTTTTTCTTCCCTTCATCTATTATCTAAAGATCTTCTCCCTATCTCTTACTTTTTCTTTTCCCTTGTCCTCCCTTTCCTAAAAGAGCGTTCTTCCTTCCGAAAAGACAGAACATTTCCTCTGTTCTCTTTAACATTATAGTTAAGTGCAACCTTTCCAATGGTCCACTCTCTTTCTCCTACAACTTGGCTTTATTGTGGGGATGAAATCCTAGTCTTTGTTATAAGCAATGAAGGGATAAATCCACTCAGGCAATTCAAGGGTAAAACCAAAGCAGTAAGCAGATTTAAAGGACCTATAAGATTAAAGGCAGAAAATGGGGAGTTATATTAGTCCTCTTTATCCTTGCTTTCCCAGAACCAATTCAGCTTTGCTCTTTTTTTCTTTCTTTTCAAACACAGAGCCAAACATTAGTAGAATAGCCAAAGCCTGTGGCATACAGAACAGTGGCTGGAGTGAGAGTGACCAGCACTGAAACCCAGACAAGACGTAATTAGGGCTGACCTTGGGAGGTGGCCATGAGAATAGAAACAAAAACACAGACACAAGTCATAAAGCCATATTCTTGAGTAAAATCAACAAGATTGGACCACGGATTAGAGATAGAATAGCAAGGGCAAGGGAGGAAGATGGTGCAAGGCTCTGAACACTGACTACAGCCAGATGAGTCATCCTAGAGCTCGGCTCCAATTGAGTTACTCAAATGAGAAAAACCTTTGGATGGCTCCAAGCCCACTGCACATAGAATGAAGTCTAAATTCCTATATAAGCACTGCCACAATTCTGTGCTGAGTTATTAGCAAGCTTGGACTCATTCATTCAAGGGACATTTATTGAACAGCTATTATGTATTATGCTGGGTCAGAAATCAAAAATGGGGGAAAGGCACAGTTCCTGACTTTGATGAATTCAGTGCTTAAAGGGGGTAACCTTCAAATAAATCAATTCACATATGCTCAAGCTCCATTCACAATGTTCCTCTTCATCTAAAACCCGTTTGTTTATTGAGTGCTCACTCTATGCCAGAGACTGCTCTTGGCCCTAGAGACCCAGTCAAGTTATTTCTATTCATTTCTCAATCAGACCTGTGGATTATTGATTTGGGATTTTCTGCGTGGAGAGCTGAGGCCAAAGAGAACCTCAAAGGGGAAAGACTGAGGAAGAGGAAGAGAACCAACACCAGACTCTTAGAATAATGCCTACAGTTCAAGGATTAGAAAAAGGGAGAAGAGCCAGAAGTGGCCAGAGGAGTAACAGAGGGCAGAGAAAATCGAGTCATAGAAGCTGAGTGTGGAGAGTTTCAAGAATAAAGAAGAATCTGAACTGTGTAAAATGCAGCTGAAAGGCTAAGAGAGAGAAGACTGATGAAGGAACCAATACAGACTCTCACTTCAGGTGATAGAGGGAAAGAAGTCTGTGGCGAGGGACAGATCAAAGATGGACAACAGAGCAAGGGAGTGCTTTATAAAGACTCTGGGGCAGAAAATGGGAGGGTACAGAAATCATAGACACAAGTGAAAAGGTTGACCTTAGAGAGAAGAGAGACAATTTTTTCCCCAAGACCAGAAAGAAGGACAGGACAGAAGAATATCCAGAGACAAGGGATAAAGGGAGGACATAGGGGGACCCCAGGGGTGTTTGAAGTCAGACAACGCCACGTTTGGATCTCAGCTCTTCCACTTATTTTTTTTTTTGGCCCATGGGATCTTAGTTCCCTGACCAGGGATTGAACCCATGCCCCCTCCAGTGAAAATATGGAGTCTTAACCACTAGGCCACCAGGGAAATCCTTCTTCTACTCACTTTCTGCATCGTATCAGGCAAGTTGATCAAGCTCTCTGATCCTTGGTTTCTCCATCTTCTTATAAGATGAATATAATAATGCCTTTCTCATATGGTTGTTGTGAGAATACACTGATAAAATATATGTGCCAGCAAGCTTCCTCCTTGCCTTATCAGCTAAGGTACATACGAGGTCATATGAATTAATTCTATTGACTCTTGCCCCATCTGCTCATTCAGCACTGTAGCCCTCTGCCAAGTACTCTTCTAAAAGTGCTCACAAGTGAGCCCACCTCACTGAGCTCCAGGGGGTCAGCCGAGCGTCTGTTGTCCCCACACTGCTCTAGCTAAGGTCCTGGAACAAACAAGATGCCAAATCCAAACACGCTGCCTGGTACTACAGTCTTGATGAAGCAGCCTTTACAGCTTTTACGTAAGCCCCCTCACCAAAGCATCCTCCACCAGTCTCAGTCTGGGCCGGATAGAAACCCGAGTGAAAACCACGTTGCTGTACCTTGAATTGTCCCTCCTCTCTTATGACCAGGTTTGAGTCAGGCTCTGGGAGTCTCTCTATCCTCCATGTGAATACATTTCTGGTAGGCCCTCTCCATTAACTTGCTAAACACCTCCTGGTATGTATCAATCCTAATCATCTAGATTACATCTAGTAGACCCTGGCGTACAGTACAGGCTCAAGAAAGTTAACTCCTTCTCCCTTAACTCACCTCCACAGTTTTATTTATACTTCTGATTTGTAGTGTCCTTTCTCCCATCCTCAGTCATATCTGGGTTTGACCGAGGTGCACAAAGACTTGGTTATAACTGCACAGTGGTGAGCTTGTAAATGTTTAGCTTTTTCTCCAGGAGAAAAAGCCAGATTTTGTAGTGTTTGCCAATTTTCATGCTGCAAACACTCCCACGCTAGTGGGAAAGAACCTGCCTGCCAATGCAAGAGATATAAGAGACTCGGATTTGACCCCTGGGTCTGGAAGACCCCTGGAGGAGGGCATGACAACCCACTCTAGTGTTCCTGCCTGGAGAATCCCACGGACACAGAAGCCTGGCAGGCTAGAGTCCACAGGGTCACAAAGAGTCATACACGACTGATGAGACTCAGCACTCATGCACAAACACTCCCACCACGGCTCATTTCAATTTACCAACATGCCGTCAACCACCTTGCAAAACCACTGAACCGGTTACCTGGGAATCTTGGCTAGTAGGATACTGAAGCAATTCTGAAGTTTCTGCCCATTGAATAAAGTCCCAGGTATATCTAGCTACTGCTTTGTAAAGATGACATTCCATCCCACCTGCATTGCAATGGGGATGAACTGTAAAGGCACCAAGTCTCACTTAGGGATCTTCAGTACTTTTATGTGGTTTGGGAAGTGATTGTGTTTAAATGGCATTTTGAGGGAAACAGACACACCCTGATGGGTGAAATCTCAGGGATGATCAGTGAACAAAAACACTGTCACCGAGTAAGTAAACAGTGACAAGTTTATAAGATGCTGTTGGCAGTAGCTGGATTTCTCAGTGCTGAACACTTGAGTTGGGCATGGCGGGAGCGGCTGGTTAGCCATTTGTCAGGCAAAGTCAAAACAGCCCTCCAGCTACAGCACAGACGGCAGACTGCAGCTCGTCAGCATTTTATTTATGACTCTTAATTAGCAAGCAAAAAAGGAGGGAAGAAGTTACCAGCTTGGGATATACATACTTATATATTTCCCGGATATTGTCTTTGTCAAAATAACGTAAATCCCCATGACCCCGAGAGGTAGATATAAATTTACATTATATAGACAGAAGACTCCATCCTGGAAGGTAAATATAATTATCCTAATCTCACCAATGAAGGTTCAGAGAGGCAAACTGACTTTTACAAGATAACACAGCTTGAATGCGAGACTGACAACTTTCAGACTCTAATGCAAAGGCTCTTTCAGTCACGTAATGGTTGGCTCTTATCTCGCACATCAGAGTTACAGTCCACTGACTTGGACTGAAAGAGCTGAATACCAAGCTCACTACACTGGTGAAGAAACTTCATATTCTCATGGTTAGAATTAATTCTTTGGAGGGAGGGGAATTATTGAGGGGAGTGAGAAACAGGACAACTGAATGAGTAGGTCAGCTTCCTGCCTGCTTTTTGAATAGCCTGGGGTCTTATTGTGCAACCAACAGAGTCTAATCAGGTATAGGGCAGAAATAAAGAGTGGGACCTCACAGCCCATGAATTTAAAGTGACTCTGCTCTACGGAGGTGTCTAAGCTGCTGGGCCTCCAAGTGATTGTGAGGTACAGGAAGCATCATAAACAAGAACAGACCTGGCAACTATAAACACAGAGGACTGCTTACCTCAGCCATCTATTTACAGATGGCATTCAGAAAGGAGTGCACTGATTACTTCTGATCACTGAGTTGAGCCAGAAACATTTACAAAATGATACTTACATAACAAATTTAAATTTTTATTGATATAAATCATCTTGATTATGAGTTTAAAATTTAAAAATTATTTATTTTTATTTTTAATTCCTGTGAAACCAAAAAAACCAAAATGTTTCTAGTGATTCTCAAGGGTTCCATGCCTCAATAAAGGATGAATTGGAAGTTGGCAACTTGGAAGCCCTCTGAGGAGCTGTGTAGGTCATCGAGGAGGTCACGGGCATGTCTGGTTCTCTTATCCTGCAGGCACAAGGATGGACTGAACTTCTTCATCCCCCTGAAGATAAGCATGGCCACAAGACATGCTCTAGCCAATGAATATGATCAGGTATAAAGTGTGTTGCTTTCCAGGGGCCCGGGGGAGGGTGGGGCGGGGGAGACTTAGTTAAGAGTTAGGGCACAATTATCTACTCTCACTCCCTCTGCCGCAGAGGCCCCGCAGAGCCTGCTGAGATGACAGGCTGTCTGCTATTAGGACCCAGGGTCACTCAGACAGGCAGAATCTGTCCTGAGTTTGGAAGCTATCCTCACTGCAGCATAACTTCACCTATCCTACTAGGAGAGAACTGTTTGGTGAAAGAGGAAGTTAACTAAGAGGAAATTAGTGGGGATCCCTGGTGGTCCAGTGGCTAAAACCCGTGCTTCCAATGCAGGTGACCCAGATTGGATCCCTGGTCAAGGGCTTCCCTGGTGGCTCAGATGGGAAAGAGTCTGCCTGCAGTGCGGGACACCTGGGTTTGATTCCTGAGTTGGGAAGATCCCCTGGAGAAGGAAATGGCAACACATGCCAGTATCCTTGCCTGGAAAATTCCATGCACGGACAGAGGAGCCTGGAGGGCTATAGTCCATGGACTGGCAAAGAGTCGGACATGACTGAGTAACTTCTTTTTCTTTCAGGAAACTAGATCTCACATGCCACAATGAACAGTTTGCAAGCCCCAACTAAAGATCCCACATGCTGCAACTAAGACCCAGTGGAGTCAAATAAATACATAAACATATAAAGATTTTTAAAGTAATAAGCCAAAAGCTGAAGATTCTTGGACATTTTCAATCTCATCAGAGGCCTGGGACTCTGAGTGCTAAAAACTCATTATCCAGGGTGTTCTTCTTTCTGAATGATCAAGAGAAGGTAGAATTCGGTCAAAACAAATCTGTACCTTCAGGTTTCCAAACAGATAACTGGAAAGAATCTAGACTTCTTAGGATCTAACAAAAACTCTCCTGAAACTAGAAGTATCTATTGAGTGCCCACTCTTTATATGATGTTTGACATTGTGGGAGATGCTTAGCAGTAGAGAAGCCTTTTCTTTCAAGGAACTTACAACCTAATTAGTGAGTTCAAACTGAACATCAGGAAACATCAACTTATATTTTTTTCTTAAAAAACTTCAGGTAATGATAAACATGATGCTATGAAGCAGTGCAATCAGTGACCAAATTCACCATACATGAAAATCCCTATAGATGGGCTGAAGGAACTCTATCACCACTACAAACCCAACAGTAGTTTGCACCCTACTTTATCCTCACATCCACTGTTAATGTACTGTCAGTACCTTACAGCTGAGACTGGTACAACTGGAAGAATCAGAGAGGATATTCAGGCTTTCAAGGCACACAGCAGCAGAAGAAAGAGTTCCTCAAATTCTTGGCAGTTTATAACCAAAAGCAAATAAGCTGCCTTGTGAGGCCTGCCTCGTTTGTAACAGTGAAGAGACTAGAGGAAGGCTAAGGCCCAAGACCAGTAAACTGTAGCAGCTACCTGGCCATCACACCCTGCACGCCCCCCTCACCCCTGCTCCAGATGACTGGCAGTAACAGGCAAGGGTGCTGCCAACTCACTGGGAAACATGTAAGCTGCTCACTGCTCATAAGTTATGGCACCCAGAGGTAGCCCTCGAGAATCTGCCTTGGGATTAAAATATAAGCCAGATCTTATTAAGAAAAATTTGATTATAACAAGGAGACTGGTACCTAATTCAACCACACCCCTCCCCTCCCTCAGCCTGGCCCAAACAAACCTGTGCTGTACAAAAATCGCATGACATCATGGTTCAAATAAAGGTTCTATTTCCCTTTCTCCAAGTCTCCGGAATCATTGAACATTGAATGTAAAATACCACCCTTAAGATCATTCTCCAAGCTGCATGACTGAATTCCTGCAAAGAAGAAAAGAGGTGAAGAGTTCACCTTTCACTAGAGTTTGAGTAACCCACCAGGGCAGCAGTACCCTGACAACAGGACATCCAGCATTGTCAGGCCTCAGAGAACAATGCCGCTCCTTCCCTTGTGTGGAGGAAAGGACAAAATATCAGTCAGTGCCTTTCACATCCACGGCTATCCTGAAAGGAATGTCGGTGCCTAACTGTCCAGGCTGAGGAGCACCCTAAGAGGTCTTTAACAAAGATGACTCGAGGACTGCCAATCACAGTCTGGCTCATTTATCACGAGGTGGATAGGCCTCCAAAGCTCAATCCACACAGAGACTATGTGCTTATGTAATCAAGCCAAGGAGACTCCCCCCTCTCTCTCTCTCCCCGGCCCCCACTTCCCTTCCTCCCTTCTCTCCCTCCCTTCCTTTCTGTTTCTGGAAATTGAATGGGAAATACAGGGAATATGGTCCTTGAGCTGTCAGTGGGAACAGAAACTGGAAAAATGTATACAGTGAGCACACGTCATGTAGGAGAACTATGAGACAGAGGGTATGAGAGTGCCAAGGTTGAGACCAAAGAAATAAGCTACTGAAAAGATGCACAGCGCTAAAAGCGAGGCCAAGTTGGTGGCTGTAGTTGTGGTGGACACATAAGCAAGTCCCTATGATGGCTAAAGTGGGGACAGGAACTCCCCTGGCTGAGCTGTGCTGGGGTCCCCAGTTTCAGCTTCCTTGTGGCCTCCAGTAAACTAGTTTCCATAAGAGTCCTGTCCCCTGTATCTGCCAATAACCCACATCAGCAAAATGCCCTCAGCGCATCCCAGTTCTTGCCCTCAAACAAACACACAAGCAGAGGGCCAGGTTCTACAGACACCTGAACGTCGGCCAGTCTGGACCAGCTCCAAAGCTCCTTTACCCATGTCACCTGATGCTTTTCCTCTCAGGCATTTGACACTTTGCATGTCAGGCTATATACTATTACTCATTTGTGCAGGTTTTCATGCTATCTCAAAGGCTATTTGTTCTGTGGAGTATTTTTAGCATGAGATGAGGGAGGGGGCTGGGAGAACGGTTGGGGAAGAGAAATGTTCTAGCCGGGGACAGCGTCACATTCTCAATGCTGTGTTAAGTGCTGTGCACAAACGCATGCTCCAAAAAATGATTGTCGATGATGCTGTCTTAATCCCACCTTCCTGTGTTTATAAAGACAAGTACAGGCAATTGAAAATGAGGTCTCAGGGGATCCCTGACAATTGAAACTCTTCCTCCCTCAGGGAGCAGACCAGGAAACGCATAAGTGCACCCATGTGGTCTTCATAGGAAGATATCACATAGGCCCGAAGATTTCAGGGGAAAAAAAAAGAAAAGAAAAAACCTTTTTCAAATCCTTTTAAAGCAATCTGTGCAGATGTTTCCTGAACTCTCCGGAAGAACTGGGATGCAAAATGCTGTATCTCCCCTCTATCACTCCCCCCACCCCCACCCTGCAAACTGGCTTTCAGGTGACGCAATGATGAGACCTCCGTGCTGAGCTCGGTTTGGAGGACGCAGCAGCCGACAGAGCGTGGGGTGCTGCCACCTCTTGGAGGTTCATAGACAAAGCAGGTCTCCGTCCCAGAAAGGATGTGTTTTAGTGATATTATGAAATGTTAACGGGCAATCTGTTCCGAAATAATTGCTCAGTGTGTTGGCCTCCTTTTCCATTTTAGAATTTCAAAGGCATTGCAGGCCGAAAGCACTGCCAGCCTGTTAGTGGTACCTACACTGATTAAATCTAGCCCATCACAACCATGGCTACACAAAAGCCCCTTTTCTCAATTAATAAAATGCAATTAATGGTATCATTGAAAAACTCCTGCCACTTCCATTTAGAGCCAGTTAGAGCTTCAATTTAGAGCTGTGCACAAATTTTAGGATATGCATTTTCTTTTCAGTTGATGTGATTAACATTACCTAATTTCTGGGATACGCCCAATTTCTATAGGGCAAAAGAATGTTTACCAGAAACATACACGATAATGACAGCTTCCTTCCCTCTATAGACACACACACACAGGCTCATGCACACAACCAAGTTCAATTCCACTTATTCAACAACCACAGTGCCTCTTCTACCTATGGGAAATGTCATATGGTCACACTGGAAATATCCAGGGTGGGTGCTCTGAAGTAGGATACAAATTCTAAGGCCTTTATTGGATGATGGTCCTTTTGAAATATTTTTATTGATCAGTCCAGCTCCTGAGAAGAAATAGATTGTTTCTCTTATTCTCCCAGGTATAGGTCATTTGAGCAGTTGGGTTGTCATTTTTTTAATCTTCACGTTTCCCTAAGGATAGTGAGAGGATGATTTCAGCAGCAACATTAGCTGCTTTAGGCTAGATTTTCAAAGCTACACCAGGGAGTTAAAAGCGCAAATCCTGTTATTGTTACAGGATTAATGCACAGAAGTCCCAGAATACCACTTTGGAAATGTAGCCAAGGAATATTATTTCAATGTACGGTATGTTATTTTTAGACTCAGCCTATAGCCCAATTATCAGCTGGCATATCAAAAATGAGACAAGACAGATAGCTGTCTTTAATCCAAAATTCTAATGAGGTTTTTGTGTTTGTGCTTTTTCAACCCTTAGAAATCTGGATATTTGGAGGAAAAAAAGTAAAAGAAACTACAGCAGCTACTTCCTACCTGCTCTACTGCGTTAGAGGCTGCAACTTCTAAGGAATAAATTAGCATTGCTTTGTTTTACTTTTTTTTATAAGAGAGGCAGGTGGTAGGAAAAAGAGGCATTGAATCATGGGGACCTCTTGACCACACCATAAAAAGTACAAATCAACAACAGCATACTAATGATTTCAAGGCACAAGTCAGGGCTCCTGCCATCACTCATTTCTATTTCTGCTTTTATACATCTTGGATTGCTGTTCAAAAATAACTATCTGCAAAAGGTCCTCCAGTTGGTGTAACTTTGCTTCCAAGTTGCCCTGTGGGCATCAACCAACATTTATTGATTCTCTAGATGCTTGTTGTTGAGTTTTATTAAACTGGGCTAGCTTTTCCTTTTGGCCTCAGAGTAACTCTGAGGGAGTAACTCTGATGGGAGATGACCGCATCACCATCTCTAGGCTACATCTAGTCTGTTAGATGACGCCCCATGGAAGAACTCCTACATTTCCGTTAGCCAAGAAATACCCTACATGAGTAGTTCCTTTCACTTTCCGTTGGCCAAGAAATACCTTACATGAGTAGTTCCTCTCACTAACTTTTAAATCCCAGAGTGTTTCTGTTATCTCAAAAGGCATTATACCTTTCTGAAAAGGAAAAGCATGCTTGCACAGGTCTGTTTCTGTGTGGGTCTTGGTAATGGAAGCACAACCCCACTTTCAAAAACTCTAGGATTTCACTATGTCAGTATGGGAGGGTTCACTTGGACCTCTTCTTCTCTGGCCACCAAGGACTCAGGAACCCCCAGAGGCATATCAGCAAGCAGAATTGAAACCTTTTTGTACAACTAGTAACTGACAGCTCTGATTTTGCTTTTTAGAGCAGTTGTGAGGAAGATTAAACAAGTAGCATTCTAAGAAGCAATTTGCACAGGGCTCGACACATTGTAAGCTCCCTGAGTTAAGGAAGCAGCAGCGTGGACGGTTTTAAAGACTCATCCATGTTTATAGGCATTTTTAATTTATAAAAGTATTTCTGTATGTTATATCACCAGCAATATAGTGATGAGCCTTGGGGTGGATACTCATGCATTTAATGTGGAGCTAACTCAAGTTACATACGGTTTTTTTTCCCCATGCACTTTGTACACTGAGGTTGAGCTATAAATAGGACTAGAATGAAATTCTCCATTTCAGTTTCTGGGGCATTTTTCATATCATAACCACTACTCATCTGTGTTTCAACTCTGAAACAGCAGTGATTGGGTACTAGACACTCAAAAACCAAAAGATATATCTGAAAAATATGTTACATATTTGAAAAAAAATTAATAGATTAATAATTCTTACAAATATCTACTGCTGCTCTAACTCAATATATTAGGCATTATAATATACTTTATGAACAGCTGCTCTCTTTAAGAAACACTTGCTTAAGAACTATTAGGATGCTTGTATACACCTATATTCTACCAAGAATACAAACTTATCTAACACAGTAGCATACCAAATATAATTCTACATATTCATGAAATGAATACACAAATGAATAAAGACTGTGAGTCACTAAGAATGAATTTCAATGTCAGTAGGTACAGGTAGGAGAGTCAGAGAACTTGTTGCCCCTTCTATAAAATGGGAGGACCAGAAATGCATTGGAAAATTACTATGAGAATAAAGTGAGACAAGATATGTGAAGGACCATGATAGGCAGCCTTCTAAAATGGCTTACAATGTATGGCAAAAACCACTACAATATTGTAAAGTAATTAGCCTCCAACTAATAAAAATAAATGAAAAAATAAATAAATAAATAAAATGGCTTACAACGATCCTGGCCCCCCAGCTTTCAGTGCCCTGTGTAATCCCCCACACTTAAGCATGAATTGGTAGCTTAACAGAACTGACAAAATAAGAGGTGATGGGAGGTCACTTCTGTGATTAAGATATAAAGGGTTGACTTCATCTTGTCAACACTCTCTGTCTTGCTGACATCTCCCTCACCCTCTCGCCTGTGAGACACTCATTGTACAGAGACTGAGATAAACCGTCAACCAGGAGCTTGTGAGGAACTAAGACCTCAGTCCAACAGCGCACGAGGAATGGAATCCTGTCAAAAACCACGTGAAGGAAAGGAATTCTCCCCCGCTCAAGCCTGGGTTTGACCATAGCCCTGAGTAACACCTTGACTGAAGCTTTGCGAGAGACCCTGAAGTTGAGGGCCAAGTCAAGGCACACCAGGACTCCTGATCCACAGAAACTGGGAGATAATAAATGTTTTCAGGCACTCAGTGTGCCTGAGTACCCAACAATTGTGCCGAATACCCAACAAATTTTGGGTAA